CCTTCCCAGACCTCCCTTGTCCTTTTGGGTGTGTAGCCCGTGGTGGAGCCGTTCCCAAAGCCCCACAAAGCTGGGGCAGGGGCTGAGAAGCCAAAGCAGATGCCCAGCTCTGCCGGCGGGGGCCCTTTCGGGGTAGCTGGCAACAGGCTGTGCTGACTTTTCCCCCTTGGATCGGTTCTGAGGCCGGGAGGTGTTCGTGCACGTGCAACACGTGAACTTTTGATGTACATGTGGCCATCAGTTGTGGCCATTGGGGTTGTCCAGTGCCCATGAGAAGGCACAGAGGTGCAGCAGAGCCACTGGGTTGATGCCATTCATGTGTTTACCATAGCCCTCACACTTGGGAAGCTTGAACAGTTAAATCCCTGTTATATTGTGGAATTGAAAATGGGAAACCTTATTTTGAGGAGAATTTGTCTTTTAACATCTCGCCTTTAAGCACATTTAGGCAGGAGCCTATGGAGATGCACATTTTCTATTTAGTTATGTGAGATCCTCCACTCAAAAAATAAATGAATTCTACCTGTATGCTAGGGGAACTTTGCATTTCATTTTGGATTTTTCCCTCAACTTATTAAAAAAAAAAAGAAGAAATAGAAGATATTTTGAATAATTTATTCTCTCCATGAGTAGGGGAGGAAACCCTAAAGTAATTGGGGAACACAAGTTTGAAATGCAAGAGAGAAGAGAGCAACATTTATTTGTAATCCACTGCAAATAATACAAGTTGTAGCCACATGTCAGAGGTCAGACTTACAGCAGAATGAATGAAAAAATGAAGAGAAACAAGTGCCTGGTCCTGAGTGGCTTTGAAAAGTTCCTAGGCGAAAAAAACTTCTCAGATCTTTTATGTTTTCTCTTTGAGAAAGACAAAAACAGAACTTGGGAGCCTGTGACTGTTAAAAATTAATTAAAAATGCAATAGGATTCAAGTGATGAGTTGGAAGGACAGCTCAGTGACAGAATCCCTGTGCGCCTGGCACGGCAGGGATGTGATGTGCAGAGGACTCTCCCGTGTGGCATAAATCTGCCACTGCACAGTGATTGCTTTGTACTGCAGCAAAGTGGATGTAGGAGGATGTGGATTGTCAGGGATGTAGAGGGAACCAGTGGAAATGGAACTCAATGTAATCCTCCTTTCCTGTTAACTATTCTGTGTCCTACGTGGGTGCCCATTGAAAAGTCTTCTATGAAAGGTGAGAAGCCAAAAAAAGAGAAAAAAGAAGAATCTTTGCTGTGACTACACTGCAGACAGAAGCACCCAGGAGGCAGCATTTCTGAGCATAAATATTTGGTCACGCAAATGAAAAAGCTCTTTACAAGTTGCATGTTTAATGAACTCTTATCCAAAGGGAGCTGGTATGGGCAGGAGCAGTGTGTCTGTCACTGAGGGGGCCACGTCCCAACCCACTTCCTCAGCCCCACGCTGTGTCTATGCCCATCATGGCCATCATGGACACAAATCTTTGCCACAAAGAGAAGGGAAGTTGTTGAACTCGAGACTTCTCACCACAAAGCCACTTCCTTCCTGACAGCCAGCGGTGAGCTGCCACAGGCACGACCCTTCCAACACTCTCTGTTGCTTCTCCTTCTCTTGGGCTTTGGATAAAGTGCTCCCAAGCAACAGAGGGATTATTTTATTGCAGCTTTTCTGTTTTTTATTTTATTAGCAGAAACCTATTGCATTTCCATTACAATATCCCAATACTGTATTTTTATAATCATTCCAGGCCTGCTGGTTGCACAGCTCCTTGTGCCATCCCACTTTGGTTGGAATTTTGGTATAAGGTTCTTCTCCCCTTTTGCTTCCTAACGAAAATTTCTGTATTATCTATGAGATCCAAAAAATGCATGCTGCTGCAGAGATCTCTGCTTAGATATTTCTAATCCCTTCAAGTGTTCAAGGCCAGGTTGGACTTGGACTTGGGGCTTGGAGCAACCCTGGCCTAATGGAAGGTGTCCCTGCCCACAGCAGGGGGGGTGGAACAAGATGAGCTTTAAGGTCCCTTCTAAACAAAACCATTCTGCTATTTCCATCACAAGGCATCAGTGTGGTGGTGCAGGAAGTGCCCACCACACTGAGCCCAACCCCAATCCCACCCGAGGCTCATGGTTGTCAATGGTCACCTTGAAGTACAAATTTGTGCTCAGGCATAAGCTCAGGGCTTGTATATCATGTCCAAGGCCAACTGCTCTCCCTGCCAAGGGACACTTCAGAAAACACAGCCCTTGGCTATATGGGGTTCTGCAGCTTTGGGATTTAGTGGTTGCTAAATGGTCTCTGGGTGATGGGCATATCCCCTTACGGAGAAGTCAACACAAAACCATGTTTTCACGGGTGGCATACACCTTCCTGTGAGTTGCTAACGATGGAAATGAGGTAATAAGGCTTTTACATTCATGCATTTTTTCAAACTGGTAGAGGGGAGGAGGAATGAAGGGAAGAACCACAAGGGTTGTCTTTGTTGCATTGTTCAGGATGTGGCCCTTCTGCCCTTTCCCTGCAACCCACATGTTGATGGGTGCTAGACCTCTACGGCCCATCATTGCAGCCCAAAATCTGTGGGGCAGATTGGTGAAGGGACACTCTCCAGTTTGTGGAGGGCTGCAGAAGGCAGTCATGGGGCAGCCCCACACTGGCCTCAGTCACGAGGCAACGCACAGATCTGGAAGGGCTTGGGGCAGCGTGTGAGGCTGAGTGTGAAGGCGAAGGTCAGTGCTGTGTCTGCCGGCGCCCGGAAGGTGAACTTCTGTAGGAGGGCTACGAAGAAGATGAAGAGCTCAGTCCTGGCAAGCTGCTCCCCGGGACAAGCCCTCTTGCCTGAAAAGGAGCAAAAAATAATCCAAAAGACTCCCGAGTGAGCTCCAGCCACCTCTGAGTCTCCTCTCTCTCGCCTGCGCCGCCTCGCACAGGCTGCTGCGGCTTTTCTTCCTGGAAAGGTTAGGTGGCAATGTTCACCCACACAATCTGCTCAAACCTTACCCAGAAGTTTACTGCTGAGCAAACTGCGGCTGCTCAGATAGACAGAGAGGGGAAACGGTGAAAAAAACCCAGTTATGCAACTTGTGCAAGAGGGGAAAAGGCTTATTTTCTTTATCCTGCAATAACAAAATTGATTTCCCTCTTGCTCCGAGCAGTCAGTATTAACAGTGACTGGGATTTTCACTGTGGGGATGGGCTGGAAGCTGGACAGGAGCAGTGCCCCCTACTCTATAAGCTGTGTCTTGGGGGAAAAAAAAGCATTGCAGAAGGGAAAGCCACCTCCCCATCCATCATCCTACCTGCAGAGAAGGGCAGAAAAGCCTCCCGCCTCCTGTACTGGCCGTTTTCCAGGAAATGTTCAGGATTAAAGGTGTCTGGAGTCTCCCACACGTTTTTGTCGAACATTATCGAAGTCAGGCTGGTCATCAGAGTGGTGCCCTGCGAGAGGTGGGGAAAGCGGGTGATTACGTGGCAGAGAAGAGCCAAAGTGTTGTCAGACCGCGTTATTATTAGCTCTGTTCCACACACAGCGTAAACTACATTTTCTTAAGGGCAAAATGTGGTTTGTTTTTTTTCCCCTAAGCTATGTAATTAAATGAGGATGAAAACTTACAGGATTGTTCACTTCTGTGTGTCTTTAGGTATCATCACGGTGTTGATCCACACCTTGAGCTGCTGTAACAGGTGATGTTACTATAAACCAACTTTAAATTGGTAACACTGCAATCCCATAGGAATTTGAAGCAATTAAATCAAATACTTTTCAATCATTTTGTTTTATTGAGCCTTAAAAATACCCCAGATTTGATCTGGTTTATCTCCACATCCTCCATCAGCAAGAGAAATATTCTAATCAATGTGGAGGAAAACACCCAGATTTTTTATTTCTAATTTTCCTTGATGCAACCAGCCATATAGATTGAAGAGGCTAGTTGTATCTAAATCTAATATTTGCTTTCATAATTGCAGCACAGTGTGCGTGCAACAATACCCACTACATGGCTTTAATCAAGTTCTGGTTTTAATAGATGATTTTTAATACTCTATGGAAGTAACAAACCCAAACTATTTGATTTCCTGTGTTTCTTGGCCCTCTATTCCCATAATGTGTGGAATATAAAATTACAAAATTTTAAGGGATAAATCTTTTAAAACTGGAAATTATGACCAACACCATAAGGATCTTACAATTCTCCTCTGTAAGGAACTGAGACCCTTAACAGCCCCACGCCCTCTGTCAGGAGGGCTTGTATTTTCTATATAACAGTGATATCTCT